TTATTTTATAAATAATTAAAAAAAAAATTGAGCAATCTCTCCCGTTGGCCCGACCCCTCTTCCTGTCGCTTGTGATCCAACCCCTCTCCCTGCCTATAAACCAACCCCTTCCCCCTCCGTCCGTCACTGAAAGTCAGAGACCCCCACCCGAAAGCAAACCCAACACTTTAGGGTGGTTCTTGTTTAGGGAATTTTTCCTCGCCACGTGGGCCAATCAGCACCTGCCACGTGTCAGCCACGTGGACCAGTTAGGGATTGCCACGTGTCATACTCCTGGAGGTCCAGCATGGACCAATCGCGCCACGCCACGTGGCTCGCTATCCGCCAACCTGGAAAACGGCTAACAGGGCCCGAATCTCGAGGCAAGCCTAATCAGTCCTAGGTTTACCATTTAACCTAGTATTGGGCACGTACTTCGAGGCTATAAATACAATAATTAAGCCTTCATTAAACACATTCAGAATCAATTAATCATCTCACCTGGAGAAGCCTAAACACACGTGCATTCTAATCTCTAGACCAGACTTAGCATTATCTGCACTCCCTGATCACTCCTCTCTTCCGAGGAACTAGATCACCCTCTTTATTTTCCGCACCTTTTTACTCCACCTACAAGTACTAACTTGATCGTCGGAGGCGGAGCTCCCACCACCCAGAGTCTCCGTTGTTTTGCAGGTACATGCGCAAGGATCCAGTCCCGGAATTGTAAATCTCCCGCAGGACATCAAAAAACCCCAAAACAGTTCTCATGATGGATGTTTAATAAAAAAAAAAATTATCATTTATGTCATGAGCAACTTAATATCAAGAATTCATGATTTCCAAAACCAATTTTTTTTTTCTTTTTATCTAATTTACCATAGAGAGTAAGAAAAAACTTGGTATTACCAGACAATTTTCTAAAAATTCATTGAAAAATAAGTAAGTTATTAGCGTTTATAGTAGGGTTTTAGGTACTCTAAGAGGAATTTCACGGATCATATTCGTTCTCACCTAAACAGGATCTACAAGCACAACACATAAAGAATCACATAATTCATACCTTTGACGCATGATTTCCACGAATGATTAACTCCAATGATGGGAGAATAAGAGCCCCAAGTGTTGCTCCTCTACTTAGTCCACAGGCTAGGATTGAACCTCCACTAATGCTAGTTATTCGAGCATGAACACTTCGAGCCACCTTCTACGAGGAGGGGAGGAGAAAACCGAGCAATGACCAACCATGACCACCACCGTGCATCACACGCACCACCGGCGTGTGCAGACATGAGGGGGGAGGAGAGAGTGAGTGCGTGAGGCTTTGGGGTTTGGTTGCTTGCTAGTCAATTCTCAATTGACTGCTTAAGTGTTTGCAAACCCTGGGCAAGGCCTCTATTTATACATCATATGTATAATTAGAGTCCAAACTAAGCCCAAACTACTCCTTCTTTAATCCCATATGCCCAGCCACTCCATGAGGCCCAATAATGGGCTTCTTTCTTTTGTTAAATCCATTACCTTTGTGTGTGACCTTAAAGGATCCATTCTATTAGGTTTTGGACTATTTGACTAGCACAAAGATCATTTATCATATCTAGCAACAGACAATGATATGTATTCTTACTGCAGGGTTTTATGTACTATAAGTGGTATTTCACGAATCATATTCGTTCGCACCTAAACAGGATCTACAAGCACAACACATAAAGAATCACATTATTCATAACTTTGACGCATGATTTCCACGAATGATTGACTACAATGATGGGAGAATAAGAGCCCCAAGTGTTGCTCCTCTACTTAGTCCACATGTTAGGATTGAACCTCCACTAATGCTAATTAGTCGAGCACGAACACTTCGAGCCACCTTCTACGGAGAGGGGAGGAGAAAATCGAGCCACGAACAACCACGACCACCACCGTGCACCACCGTGCATCCCACGCACCACCGGCGTGTGCGGACGTGAGAGGAGAGAGTGAGTGCGTGAGGCTTTAGGGTTTGGTTGCTTGCTAGTCAATTCTCAATTGACTGCTTAAGTGTTATATGCAAACCCTAGGCAATGACTCTATTTATACATCATATGTATAATTAGAGTCCAAACCAAGCCCAAACTACTATCTCTCTTTAATCCCATATGGCCGACCACTCCATGAGGTCCAATAATGGGCTTCTTTCTTTTGTTCAATATAGTACCTTTGTGTGTGACCTTATAGGATCCATTGTATTGGGATTTGGACTATTTGACTAGCCTAAAGATCATTTATCATATCTAGCAACAGACAATGATCCAAAAGAATGAACTAATTATCTTCATAACAATGATGCTTGATATATCTAGTAATTGCAGTTGACGAAGACATAAATCCTTCATTTACGATTTTAGACCATGCCTCTCTAGTCTCTACTTTATAGCAACTTCTTTCCAACACTATTTAGGCTTAAAAACTTATGGATATTAAATGAAGAGCTACATTCAAATATTAGAAAATTTTGGCCTACTTTTTGAACTTAAAAAAAAAAAAAAAAAAAAAAAGTAGCTTACATGGATTCAAGGGTTTAAAATTTTCATATTTAACAAAAATTATTAAATTTTCAATATACAAGTGGGTGCACATTGTACACCCAGTCAAAATATTAAGCTTATGAAAAATCAGAATATATATATATATATATCAAAATTCTTTATTTAAGGAATTGACTTGTTATTTATATTCCTTGAATTAGGTATTGATTTCATATTTACAGGATTTTTTGGTGATACACACAATTTCATTTGTGTAGTGTTTTGAATTTCTAATTAATTCATTGTGCAATTTTGGAGTTGCTTGTATCGTTCCAATGAATCTTAATTTTAATAAAGGTATGTAATTGACAAATTTGTTAAAAAGTAATTTTCAATCTATTGTGTGATAGCCTTTTCATTTAATACCCAAAACATTGGAACACGATTGAGGACAGAACAATGAAATTGATCGGACTATGAAACAGCCACGATAACACTTCAAGTAACATGGGAAGAGTGTGACTTATGAAGATTGGTGAGGCTAGATTTACAAATGCTTGTGGAAGAGACATTAGAGAAGGGATTGTGAAAATGATCAAAGTATATAAAATTGTAACAAAGGTGCCTATGGCGCTCCCACATCGGAAGTTGAGGAGAACGAAACCTTCCTTAATTATATGGGACCTCAACCTAGTAAAAGCCATTTAGGCATGACTATTGTCCTACACGAAAGCAAACCCTTGCGAACTAGTCCAAGATAGGACATTATTTTTAGAGCTTATGTTGACCTAAGTTGTTACAGATGGTATCTGAGCTAGGGCCCATTTCAATGTCATGTTGTGTATTCGGGATACAAGCTTCTTAAAGGAGGGGAGAAGGTGCTTACAGTGCTCCCGCATTAGAAATTGGGGAAAACGAAGCCTTTCTTATATGGGAGTCGATGCCACAATCTAATTGAGGTCTTCTGGTTAGGACTACTATCCTGCACCAAAGCAAATCCCACCTTGTTACAAAGATAAACATGTTGCACTTGTACTAGGAACTCACAGCCAATCAAGAGAGTTAAAAGTATATCCAAAAGTGACGGTCCCACATTTTTTTAGGGTTTAAAAATATATATAAGACTTAAAGTAGATTATTTACAATTTAATATGTAGAGTCCTATTTAAATTAATAAAGTTTTTAAAACTTCTATCAAATATGTGCCAAAAAAAAAAACCAAACAAACTTCTATCAAATAATAGGATATAATTTAAAAAATACAAAATAAATTCTAATTATTTATATGTTATAAGATACAAAATATTAAGGTATTACATCTACTATCGGGAGCAATATGCGTTTAATGAGTGGCACTATAAAATTCTCACCTATACTTTCCTCTCCAAGAGATCTCCACTCTCATTTTTTTCCAAACTTAAATTCGATGGCTCAATTAAACATGATTATCAATTTGCGAGAATCATATAGATTTCTATCAGTGTCATGTACCAGTAACTCAGGATCTAATCCCATAGAGATGATCCAAATTTTATCATATATCATGTGAGATAACACCAACAACTAACTTACTTAATATGTGTACTTTCAGCCTTGGTAACACTAAAGCTTTGATAGCCCTGCTCTCCACAAGAGCATCCTACTTGTGATGTGTTAGATTCCAACCTCGCTACTTCATATTTTTAAGATGCTTTCCTAGACTTTTCTTTAAATTTTCTAGGCTTTAGATTTCATCACTAAACAATGTAATTTCAAAAAGGTCTTTAGGAGCAAATGATTAATGAAAATCCAATAGCTTCCTATCGAGTGTTTTTTTGCTTTTGTGCTTGCGTTGTTCAACCTTTATAGATATGTTGTTCGCATACATTTTAGCACTCCAAACTCACTAAATGGTACAAGAAACCCATGATTTGGTCTCACTTGTACCCACCTCGACTAGCTCAACCATCACAAGCTCCAATCACCGCACCCCGTCGCCAAAAGATCGATAAGAGCGTCCTTGAGATTCAGACGCCCACTTGTGTTGTTGTTTACTCATAAGTCTAGTTTTCCGCACAACACTTGCACCCTTACCGCCAAAAGGCAAGAGCATGCCGCAAGATCCAGTATCAAAACATTCAATCCGTGACACAATGAGACAAGGCATCAAAAACATCTATCTTTAAAAGTGTCAACCTTTTAATTATCAACTATACTAAAGGTTCATAGAAAACCCGAGGAAGATTGGCCATATTGTTGCAAACATTTAACATTCATCTTATTCTCAACAAATTTTGACAATTGAAGCATTCGACACATCTATCGTGAAGCAAATCAGGCAACTGACATAATACCTAATGTTAGTAATTTATATAGTGATAGTATGATAATTTTGGCTTATTTTCTTTTCTTGTATCCAACGCAATAGGAATTTTGCTCTTAAAGAGCGTTTTCTGATGTTCCCTCTTTTTCCTCACCTAAAGAAGGGTATGTATGCAAGACAATGTCTTTAAAATTTATCATACAACTTTTTCATTGACTTTAAAATATACAATATATATTGCCATATACTTTGTTGTTTATCTAAAAGGTAAAAAAAATTTACAATATTTATATAGATACATATATAGGTGAAAAGGAACAAATACGTAGAAACACGAGAGCCAGCACCAAACGCACTACTATAAACAATCAAACCCACCTAAACACACCTAGTATGAGTAGTATCTACAGATCGATTACTATCAATAACCTATCAATTGCAATAATAAAGAGGTACACACGAGAAGCACCAAGAACAAGTAACTTTGTACATCATAGAGCATAAATCCTCTCATGGTCTGAGTTATACTCGTCAATGTCAGAGACATTGATGGAATAGGACCAAGAAAATGATTTGCTTCCACTTCCCCTTCTGATGCGTCTCTGTGAGTCATTTCCAAAAATCTTGAAATGATGTCGAAACACTAAGTAGCACATACTAGCCAAAGTCCCCATCAATACAATTGTCCCCAGTATTGTTACAGTGATAGCCATCCATGAACCTTCATCGCCTACAACCACAAAAGCTATTGCCAAGAAAGCTCCACAAGTGCTAAGACAGGCAGCCCACATTAGCTTGTTAGTTACAGCGACAACTAACTTTTGAGCTTGAGTATCCCATGCTACTAAAGTAATTTGGATAACGACGACAGCTAGAGAAATGAAAAGAGATGCTGCATTTAAAAGGCAGAAAATTCTAAAGGCAACAGTATCAGCAATGTTGGCTTTCCCTGCATCAGGTCCAGTTGTTATATACTGGCCATTTAAATTAAATATTGCCAGGAAAGCAATAGAGGCAAACAGCACAGCTACAACTGTAACAGAATTGGTCGTGTTTTGGACAGCTTCTCTATGAAGTTTTTTCAGTTCTTTTGCAATGCCAGAAACCCTTTTGTTGGTCTTCTCATTTTGTAAAAGTTGTGACTGCACCTCATGTTTTATGTCACTCACAGTCCTCTTCAGTTCCATAGCTGCATCCATCTTACCAACATTCCTGGCACACATTCCACCAGACTCTCCATATTGAAGCTTTGACGCTATGTCCATCGCTGTTTCTTGCTGATTGTTGATGGCATTAACTTCAATAGATGTGTAACTTAGGAGAAGGCAGACTATCTGTAACAGAGAATCTATTAGTACTCCAGAAACTAAGAATTAATACGAGTATGACTAATATGAACTAAAGGATATGTCACCAAATTCCTGAGGAAGAGGTACTGTATAAACATGACAAAGCAAATCACAACATAAAAGGAAAACATGTCAATTTAACTGAGCAACATCTCAACTTTAGATTACTGGAGTAATAAGCAATTTATCAATTTGAATGAGCAATATTTAGACAAAATGTTTCTTGAAGTGTGCAATACTTGTTTTCATAGAAGCAATTGCCAAAAAAAGCCTTACTCTTTACAAGGTTTGGAGAATGGCTGCTTACTCAAATCTTCTCCCACTGTACTAGTGAAAGGCATTGGTATGTTAAAAGAACAGTTATCAAATAAGAATCATATTTAGATGCAACGTCATATTTCTCAGAAGTAAAGACTCATAGGGATACATAAAAAGGGGAAAGGAAATGATACAGGCTACAATATTTACAAGTTTCCTCTTTGATAAGCTCGAGACTAATAAGGGGTAAAGATATCATATAAAAATGATAGCTCAAGAATTCTTGTGACAAGAAAGTGACAACTAAGGAAATACACATACTTATGCTGATATCTCACACGGCATAGTCACGTGCATGCATTCACGTAATTGAGATGCCAGGACTCAAGATAAAGAAGTTAGAAGACAAAATCCTGGAAGTCAAAGGAAAAAGATGAAGACCAAAGAAAAATACTACCACGTACAGGTGCACCCACCCCCCACAGACACAACGATGTTGTGCCGGGTTACACACACTCCAACACAACCCAGAGACACAATAATGCATTTATGTGAAACACACAAATGTGCATTCCCAGATACACAATCCTACCCACCAGCACACCCCTACATGCACATCCTTGCATGTATGCATATAGACTACACGCTTTCTCTTTCTCCTCAATCCTACCCACCAAAACCTCACATGAAAGCACTAATCCAAATTATCCCACACAGGTTCCTGATCCTTGGCTACAACATGTGAATTTTTAGAAATCAATTGTATGATATCACTGTGTTTCATCGATTGTTACCTAGGACTACATCTATTGGGGTATTGAATACATAGTGCAATGAAATTGTCATCAAGTTATGGCCTTGTGCACCAAGTAGACTAATCACTAATTTGATGGCGATCCACAAAGTTTGTGTGAGAATATAGACAAGACTCTGAAAAAGGAACATATAAAAATATACATAACCGAATAATTTTTAATCATCGCAAACCTAATGATCCTAATTAGAACAATCAGATATAGTGGTAGTCTTAACGCTTTTGGCACACATTCTATAAAGCCAACAAACCTATTACTCCCTTCATCTCAAAAAAACCAAGGGTAGTGGAGGGAATGTGTAACATTCTCAAAAGTAGAGGTAAAAAGTAAATAATGACATATATTGAAGCTTTCGATATAGGGGTAGTTTATGTGTGGAAAAAAAATAAAATAAAATTGGTGCATTAGGGTAAGATTATGTAAAATAAAAATAGATTGATTAGAAACAAGCACAACATTTTGGGACACCCAAAATAAAATACAAGCACTATAATTTAGGACAGAGAGTGTATTAAAGATAATACAAATATATGTTTCACCATTCATTTAATAAGACAAACTTTTATCATATGATACTCAAAATTGAATACGGTTATGGGACTTAGGTATGGATCCAAAAGTAAACAGAGAAATTTATAATCTGTAGATACAATGACAACAGACAAGGTTGATAAGTGTTCAATTGAAAAGTGGGACTGATAACCAAAAGAATAAACAAGAAATTGTTTGATGGGATGATGCTTCTGTTGGTGACCAAAAAATGGCTGAGATTATATAAGTTTGGTTTCAAATTAACTATTCACTACCATGAAACTCCTTATGGCCTGCGGTTAACATTAAATTGGAGAAAAGCTTCCACATTTCCCTCCAATTTCTCATTTGTTTTTCCTTTCCTCTCTCTTCATGTACTAGGAAAGATTACTACTCCATTTCCACAAACTACATATCATACAAACACAATTTTATGCAAGAGTAAGGTAGTGTTCTCATTACTTGAATTTGACTTATCCAATATTGTCTTATCTAAATATAATATTATTTGAACTTATTAGCCCTTATCTTATGTTATTTGAACTTATAAAACTTGAAATAAGTGAGGTGAAGAGAACATAGCTTAAAGAGAGTGTTTAAGGGGGAATTTGAGGCTTCGATATAAAAGGCGCAAGGCGTAAAGTCCTTGGAGCCTAGGCGCAAGGCGAAGGTGCGCGCCATTTGTAGGTGAGGCACACTTTACTTGCTTACAAAAATAAATTAAATTCTATTAAATAAATCTAAAAAAAGAGTTATGTGAAAAGGTGAAAGGGGCATGTGATCCATAGCTAGGGTTCTTCCAATTGAATTAGGGATATGAGGTTTCTCTCTCCTCTAGCATTTAAGTAAACCTAACCTTCACAAAGTTCCATAGTGTTTTTTGTAAAAAGAATAATCTTACACACATTAGCAATTGATACAGCTTAAGGCGCAGGAAGCAGCCTAGAAAAAGCACATAGACGCACGTCTTTTGTAGGTCTTTTAAGTCTCGCAAAGCTAAAGCTCCAGCTTTTGCACCTGATTGTGCCAAGTGCAAAATTAAGATTCAAAGGGGTTTTAATTACGTACAGTCGTAAGACGAATGAGCTCCTAAGTTTTAGCAAAAGCAATGTGGCAAATGAGCATAGGAAGTTAGGAGATGACCACAGTGAAGTCAAATGTAGAGGAAAGAAGCCTATAATAATTGAGATTGGACTTTCTCTCTCTTTTTTATTCCATTCATTTGAGCAAATAAGATCAAATGAAAAAATCTGGGCAACCAGGTGCAACCAGTTGTATGTTGGACACATTAAAGGAGCATATAACACATCCATAAATTAATTTGCATACCCTCAAGGGCAGACTTTTGAAGGGGCACACAAGGGCCTGGCACTCCCTTGAAAATTTGGTCCTAATTAGTTTCCGTAATTAAAATCAAGTAAAAGCCCACAAATTTTGACCGGTAAGACCCAATAAAGTTAGCCTACTGTATGACTTATTGACTTTGCCTTAATTTTGCACAATCTCCAATGCAAACTAAACCCACGTAAATTTACTACTATATGACTTATCCTCTCTTTATGATATTCTATGGATTTCTATTCAAATGCTCCGTATTATATCCTTTTTCAATTTATATGTTTTGCCAAATTAAAGCACACAAAACTTGAGTCTTATCGGTGGATCTTAGCTAATACAGTATTACCTTTATCCTCCCTTTAAAGTTGTGACTTGTGAGTTATGGAAGTAATGTCAAAGGTTAATTACTTAATAAAATATAATTATATCAATGATTTATCATTTTATGGTATTTGTATGATAATATTTTATTTTTTTGAAAGAATTGTATGATAATTGATAATATTAAGGTAATAATATACTTTACTATATATGTTTATTTCAGAAAAATTGTATAGGTACGAGTTAAAATTTTATTCTATATAACTTGGTCCCCCTAAGAAATATTCTCATGATCCGCCACTACATACCCTTATTCATCTCCTATCTCAAGAATTAACACTTATTTATTAAAGGGAAAAAAAAAAAAAAAAAAAAAAAAAAAACAAAAACAAAAACAAAAACAAAAACAAAACAAAACCTGAGAGCGGCATTTCCTTGTTGCTATATGCACTGCTGTATTTCCCTTTTTGTCACGTTCATTTAGTACTGAACAATCAGCAAGCAACAACTCCTCTATTATTGCAGGATCTTGGCCTTTAGCAGCCATATGGAGTGCTGTTTGACCCTTCTTATCTTTGATGGAGACAATTCCAGGGTCCCTTTCTACAAGTATTTTGACCATATCTAGACAACCATATCTAGCAACATTATGCAAAGCAGTTTTCCCATTTTTTCTGACAATTCTTGCTGCACTGTCATCAGTGTCCAATATGGCATTCACCACTTCCAGGTGATCCTGAACAGCAGCTGAGTAGAGTGGAGATGTATTTGAGGAATCACATGACATACAAAACTCAGGCCAGATGTTAAGCATTTGTCGCACAATCTCTGAGCACCAAAAAAAAAAAAAAAAGAGCAGGTTCGGCATTAATGACTTAAAAATCAATTCAAAATTGATCTCCCAGAGATTTTAAATCATAAATTTTGGAAACGAGTTTCTGTTGAACTGGAAAGTTATACTTCTCTGGGATAATGACTTGGAACTTTGCACAACATATATTGGAAGAGTTCATAAACCCAACTAAAATACAATATAAAAGCCTAAAAGTTTTTCCTTGACAAATAATAAGGAAAAATGTTACTCCGTAAAGTTCTAATCAAGTAAAATATATATTTTACAAAAAAAAAAAAAAAAAAAAAAAAAAAAAAAAAAAACACTTACACTCACCAGATTTGCAGCAAAAATATTATGACAAAATAAGAAATACTTGGAACAGGTACAATACTGTGACACAAACTAGGGACTTCATGTGTCTTAAACATCCTGGTTATAACCCAAAGTGGAAAGGGAAATTAAACTTAATATAGTCAGTGGAGAAAAAGATTTATGAGTTTGATCTTGATGTAATTCAAGGCAAATTGCTAGGCTTGATGAGAATATATAATGCAGAAACTAATGCCTTGGATTAAGATGCCTCACTTAAGCAAGTAAAGTATGAGCAAGTAAAGTGTACCTCACCTAAAAAAGGTCCGGTTCAGGTTCGGATTCATTTAAACCTCACCATCCTAAGCCTCGAGTAATCATTTTTTATTGCTTAGAGTAAAGTTGATGATTGTTTAGAAGGAATTTTGATAGAAATACAAGGAGAATTTAGAAGAAATTTTGGAGTCAAAAGGACTAAACCGTGGGAAGTTACGATTGACTGCTTGAGCAATCCAAAAACTACCCCTCTCAAGGAGATGTTATACTGCCTGGGCGAGTCTGTTCCAGGCTTTAAGAATCCAGGGAGCTACCTACCTGAGAATTGTATTTCCCTCACTCGGGCAATCCTACCCCCATGGACTCTAAGTGAGACAGTTTCCAGACTGCGGATATTGTGAAGTTTTCAACCCACTTGGGGAGCTATTCCCCACTCAGGTGGGCAATTACAGATTAAGAGTTGTTAAGGTTAAGTTTAGTCACCTTTAAAAAGGCAAGTTATACTTTAAAATACAACTTTGTTCTTATTATATAATGAGAATCTCCCTTGCATCTTTGTGGACACATGTATCTTAAATATTATCTCAATCTTGTCTAACTTTGTGTGGGACTAAGATAGAAACCCTTCAATTCATTGAACATTGTGATTCGTGAAAACGAATTAATCATTGGAAAATGATAAACATAGCCTAAGTGCTACATATAAGACTAGAAGCTAAAAAAGGAAATAATAAGACTAACTATACATTAATTACACCTATCTATGCGTGATTTTGTCATGAATTTCCAAATTTATACCATTTTAGGAATTGTATTTAACCCTAAGGTAGTGTTTTCTCGTATTTCATTGATTTTCTCCAAAAATTCAAGGCCAAAAAAAAAAGTTCCTTGGAATGTGAACGACATTGAAAATGGATTGTTATATTGAAATTTTTTGGAATGTAAACCATATCTAAAAAAGAATTGTTTTGTTGAAAATTTCACATCAGCTTAGGTGTCCTATATCTCCCCCTCAAAATGCTTATATTGTAAGTTTCAATGAGAGAAAAGACATTCATGCTCATGTTATGCTAAACAAAAATCTCATGAAGGTTTATGATTTTATTTAATGGAGCTAAACGGTGCGCACTTAAAGAATTTTAAGGTTCCGTAACAAATTTGTGAAGCTCCCTCATGATTAGTACAATTGTATCTCCTCAGCTATATTCTTTTTCAGGTAAAAGGTAAGTGTTATGGATACTTCAATGGAGCAAAAGGATTGGAGCAAGAGGACCTTACATAAGAGCATGTAAAGAACTTGCCCGAGGATTAGGCTAATACTAGTGACTCAATACTTAGTGACTCGATAAACTGATTGTAGGGAACTATAAGATCTATTACACCCCCAATCATAGATAAAATTAGTTATAGCTAAGGCTATTTTCTTGCTCATTTGTTAATAATTCGCTCTCAAATGAGCAAATGAGCAAACGAGCAAGAATTTACCTTAAAACATCCTAATTCTAAAGTTACACCCCGGATGTACAATAAAGGCTCCGACAATTGACAGTTATACACCTAACAAAATTCGTTCAATAATCAACCTTAAAAAAAACCCCCAATAAAAATAAAATCAAACAGTTGAAATCAAAACATCCAAGTTGAAAAATCAATCAAAACAAAAAGTAAGAAAGAAAACATTAAACATACCTAAATGACCACGCTTAGCAGCAATATGAAATGCATTGGAATCAGACTTAGACCTAATCATCGCAATTCTCACATCACAAAAACCAAGCAAATAACTAAAAACCTCAACCAAATTATTCATTGCAGCAATAAACAAAGCAGTTTCTCCAGAACCATTTTGCAACGCCATTAAAGCAGGAATTGAAGCTCGTTCATCATCTTCAGCCAATTTGTTGATAATCTGGTGTAATGATTGAAGATCACCGGATTCGACGGCAGAGAAGAATTGCTGGTGTTGGTGCGTAAGTAGCCGAAGAAGAATTGGTGGTTTGGACTTCATTTTTCAGTTGACGAGTGAGTAGAAATGGTGCGTAGTTCCTCAATGAGAAGAAGAAGAAGGAGAAGGAGGAGAGAGAAATAATGTAATAGAGTAGAGTAGAGGTGGTAGATGTAGATGTGGTGGTGTCTTCATGCTTTCTTCCCCATCTTTTTCACTCGTTTTCACGACTTTTGACCACTTTTTTGGTTTTGTGATTAGTGAAAGTTGAACATGTGGTTTTTTTTTGTTAGCCGTTTGATTGGAAAAGTTGTTGGAGGAAATGTAATTATTTGTTAGAGCTTAGAGGCTATCACGGGCCAGGTTGGGTTGGGTTAGATTGGGCCAAATTTTTTGATGCGGAAACGGATATGAGTTAAGGTGTTTGGGTGATGGGTTATGTGTTTAGGCTAGGTGTTTCTGTGGGAACTGGGTAAGGAAAGAACGAAGTTTCTGACAACGAGGAACTCGGGGGTTGATTAGCAAGGAACACTCGCAATACTAATCAAGGATAAGTATGGTTAGAGTTGAACACTCACTCTACTAACCATAGACAAGCTAATCCCGAACACTCCAGATTAAACTCACAAACTCGAATCCACGAGTTCAAGCTAAACTTGAGTCCACAAGCTTAAAACAAATAAGACATAAAATATCTTGAATTGTTGTATTTCATTAAAAGTTTGATAGGTGAATGAATTACAACCTAGAATAAAACTTCATTTTATAGGCTAAGGAAGTAGGTAGTTACATTAATTATCTATTAACTAACATAATTAAAAAGGAACTTTAAAAGTCACCAACAAAGAACTCAAAGAGTCACCAGGTATACGCAGCCTCATGTGTAACGTTTCCCTTGGAAATCGTCACATAATAAAGACTAGTAACTGCTGAAGTTCCTTTAGGTGAGTTCCTGAAGGAACTCGCTGTAGCTGCGTCCAACTTCTTCCTTGTAATGGCTGACTGTTAAAGCGTTATTACAACAACTATAAACTTAGCTAATTACTCCTAACAATTGAAAATTAAACATATAATTAACTAGTAATAAAAAGCATTTAAACTAATGGAATTCAAGCTTCAAAAGAAGCATCCAAGGGCGTGTAACCTCCTTCATAAACAAGCTTGTAACCTCCCATTGATTTCCTTGTTGGATGCCTTCATTTATTTGCGAACTTGGACTGAAATAAGAGGGAGAATATTCCCTTGTCTATGCTTTAACTCACGTCCAAGCATCCAAGGCAAGCCTTGACTAATATTCCACCCAATTTACGCAAGACTTGATTGGAGATGAAGCCATGATAAATCCTATGCGTGAACCTTGATGGAACTTGGACCCTTGTATGAACAAACCATGGACCAAAGGAACTTGATCTTGTTGAACCTTGGAACGTGTTAAAGGACCACGTATTGGACCACTAGGTTCGTTAGTTTGTAGGGAACTTCGAACCATATCCAATTCCGGATCACTTTTATTTTAAAATCAGGTTGGGTTGGGTCGGGCTTGAAATTTGTGCCCAAAAATCATTCCAAACCCGACATTTTTCGAGGTTGGCAAGGTTTGTTTTGATAGGGTGAAATATTTGTCAAAATGAAGGCGGAGCTTAGAGGTTATCTAGAATTATTAATAGAGGTCAAAAATCAATTTAACCTAAAAATGAACTGATTTGAATTTTGGCATGCATGTCAATGACATAATATGACTCAAATATGAACTAGACCCAACCCGACTAGACTTATTCAAACCCTACTTTACAAGCAAGATTGACACCTATACCTAGAATCCTAGATCATTTTAAAAAATCTCAAAATTTATGTTTTTTATCACTAAATTTCATGAGTTTTAAAATAATAAAAATATATATATATATATATATATGAAATTTCTTATTTGAAAAGTACACATGAAATTGAATAGACTTTTCAATTTTAATTTTTCTTCCCCCCCCCCCCCCCTTTAAGGGCTTGGTTAAAAATAAGGTCAATATTTTATCAAATTAAATAAAAATATCTATGATTTATTAGGAGTATAATGTGAAATTTTCAATCCCATCTCAACTAAAAAATTAGATTAAATAAGGTAAACTAAACATAGCATTAGTTGCGATGGGAATGAAAATCTCACATTATATACCTAAAAATCATCGATACTTTGATTTAACGAGGAAGAGGTGGGTTATTATATTTCCTATGTTTCCAATTTTTTGTCGTTAATAAAAACAACCTTCCATTTCCAATTGCTCATAATTTTTGGGCTTTTCCTCCCCCTATTTTTTTTTAATCGTTAAGCAAAACTAATTAATTTTACACTTCATACCATATAATTTAGAAAAAGATTAGAGACGTTAAATATACATGTTAAATAAAATAAAGTAAACACTAATACGAGAGAAGTGCAAGGTTTTTAATAAAAAATATAACAATAAATAAAAATGACTAGACTCATACCAACAATGACTCTTGCTTTTATGCCCATTTAAGTAGCTTAACTAAGCTTTATTAGTTTCTAATTAAGAACAAATGACTCTTGCTTTTATTGATACGCTCCCTTATATGGTCATCATTATTTAGTCGATACACTTGTATCTTTTTTTTTTCCCCCTAAAAAGAAATTGTCTTATCAATTTTACACAATTTCTCTCATGTGTTATGGTTCCATTTTTTCTTGTGTACTATGAAAATAATTTTAAAAAGAAAAAATAGACCCCAACCCATAACAAAAGTAATGGTCCCTACAACCCGCTAACTACAATTAAAAAAAAAAACTCCCACTATCATCAATTTGACCTCCATGGTACTCATACCTGAATTTATTAGAACTTGAAACTGATTATAAGTTAGCTCAATTTGTTATTAACTCAATACGCAATGACTATTCTAACTTGATTTTATCTAAAATCTCAATTAGTTCATTCATTCAATTTTAGGTAGAAAGATTGGAAAAGGTTAAAATCATAATTTTTCTTTTTTTGGTGTTTAAAGAGGCACAAGGGTGGATAATGAGAATCAATCTCAAGATCCCCTAAAATATGAAGGAAAACTCTAACTACTTGAGTCACCCCTCATTCTAAACACTATTTCTTAATATCTTGATGTGTTTGTTTGTGATCATCTAAACTTACAACATAATCTATTGTGATTTTCTTCCTCATAGACAGACAAGAATTCACCTTAGCAAACTAAGCCCAGAAGTTGCTTCACATCATTTATATTCACATCATTTATAAGTGACTAGTTCTACATTGAGCCTAACTTTACAACATATTAATAATGAGTAATTTTTCTCACTCTATAAATATATTATTAATATTATGTTCACTCTATAAATATATGAATACGGAAATATGCATGTAAATTTTTTACATTATATCTATTTTCATTACATTATATCTATTTTCATTATGTATTAAATTGTACAAATATTTTAGCCATATATTGATCCTACTCAATAAGAGTCTTGTCCAATAAAAACTCTGTTCATTAAGAGCCCTATAAGCTTGACCCTATCCCTATTGTCATTGGACTATCCTATCCAATAACCAGGTCTACTTGTAAGCTAATCAAGCGGCTAATTTCATAGTGAATTCAACACTACTAGAAGGACCTTAATATGATTCATTTACTATATCCATAACTAGAAGAAACATACCTCTATTTAATTGTACCACCTAATTAGGCACGACTAGTAAGCCTCAATATCTCATGCATATGTGCTTAATAGTTGACTATGAAATCCAAAGTAGAATTAGATGACGCAACTTAACTTAGATGAGAAACTAACCCAAACGAGGAGCACCAATGCTCAAGTCAAGATTAAACGTAGAGCCAGCAAAAAGTCATGTCGTTTCGTATTCACATAACATTGTGTTTATTTTGTGTTGTTTATAAAATCTTTTAAAAACTATGTAAAATTTAGAACAATTGCATAATTTGACTGATTAATAAACATGTCATGTTCGTGTCAACTTCGTGTTTTCTCTCAGTAATTTCGTGTTTGTATCATGCCAGTTTTACTCGTGTCGTCTTGTCTTATCATGTCAGAGATTCTAAGCTATAACCAAACACATGTCTAGGATTATATTTTCTACCTAAAGTCCTTTAAAAGGAGACAATTAAATTGTAGAATTTTCTTCTAAATCCAATAATCTTGGGTTTGAGATTTGCATTTAGATAATTCATTCATTCATTGTCATTATGATTTTTTTTTTTTGTTTTTTTTTTTTTTGCGTAAACAAAGACTAATTAGAGAACGACAATAAAGAATCTTAAACACCAGTTGCTCATAAGTCATAACCCAACAAAAATTGTGATATTACTCTTCATTCCCTTATTTAATGCTATCACCTTTACTAGAATGTTGAGTTTATAATGTTGTCCAAACATATTAGATAGGCACACTAGTGCAAAAGAAGCAATGGTTCAAGAAGAGGTCGAGATTCAAGATGAAGTTAAGATGCAAGAAGCAACTATATCAGCTAGAGTGCTAAACCTTCAGCTTCTAAATACAGTCGAGAAAAGAGAAGAGGGAAAAACTCCATTGTCAAGTCCTAACGTAAAGCGAGAAGCCTCAGGAGAAAAAGTTCAACACATCACAAAGGTGATTGCTCCTCCCCTTCCAACTATGGTTTAAAGTGTAGGTATCACGCTGGTGAAAAAAGGAAGTGTGTTTTTTCACCCGCTGCGGATCTCTCCATCCATCCAAGGAAGAAGTCTTCTCTAACAACGTTAGGTTGTGTTTCAAGTTTTTTGTGCCGCGTTGTAAAAAAAAAAAAAAAAAAAACCCTTTAACCCAAAAAAGAGCCATATTTTTTTTTTTTTTTTTGAAACGAAAAAAAAAAGCCATATTTTTGAACGTTTTTCTGACATATTAACAACAAATACAATGCTATCATAGTGTGTATAGTTTTCCACTTCCATGGTGTTGTAAACATTGGTCTATGATGACTATTTTCTTCTGAAACAAGCACTAATTTTAATACTATAACCCATGGCTACAAAGATTATCGAGTTTAAGAAAAAAAAAGTCACAAATGCTGATCATAACCTAGTGTTTCAACTTGAGGCCAGTTTCAATTTTTGAGTTTAGCTTCTTACTCTTCAACACATGAATCAAACAACTCTTTGTCCCTTAAATTTTGCCGCATTATCTTTTTTAGAGTATCCCTAAAAGATTGTCCCATATCATACATGTACACAAGAAACCACAACTTTACTCACAAATATTACAACGTATTTTAAATATTTAGGATCACCACTTTTCCTTGTCATCAACTCCACACAATCAAAATATAACTATGGGCAAACAATTGAGGACAAAAGCCGCAAAAATTTATTGTAAACTAGAAGAAGCACCAAACACAAAGAAAAATGGAACTTCTAATAAGTATCCAATTTCCTCAACTCATTTAGTACGCTATCTGATATTACAAAATGATCACCCAATAGCCTCATTAGCGTAATTGTCATTGTACAACTATAAACAAGGCAGAACAAATTATTACGAAAACAATTGGCTAATCGGTGATGTTACACAACTTAAATACAGAAGTTCACGAATCACGAATGCTATAAATTCAATCTAGCCAGAGGCCAAGTATATTCACATATAAGACGCCTGCTTATTTTATTTTGAAATAGATGAACAACAATCGACGGCCTTTGCAAAGTAGAAAAATATGCTCCCTTCATCCCCCCGTAGTTTATAATAAAAACAACAGGAACCACATGGGCAAAGCGCCATTCTTTAACCCACATCACCCCAAAACCACCCCCCCACCCCCCAACAAAAAAAAAAAAAGTACCAAGAATAGATCTCTTTTTTTTTCTTTAATGATCTCTCGATGTAAACTACCGAAAACCAAATCTCCCCTTATCAAAAGAACAAAAGGCTAGAAATATACAATTTTACAAATAATATCAGATCCCACCATGGCTTCGATGAAGAGATCTGGGCAGAGGGAGTGAGCAGCCACGCCAAAATAAATGAGATTACCTAATTACAATTGCAACTGCCCTGGACCCATTCTTGATGGATTGGTAGGCTGGTTTGTGTCAGACGTACATGATTGCTCCCTGTTTTCTTCAGGTCTCTGAGTCTCCTACATATATCAATATTTAAGAGCAACATCATAGTGAATGTAAGAATACATGTGAGTTGCCCACAAACATTTTTAGAAGGCATAAGTTCCTCGGTGGCATTCTTTTCAAATAAAATAGAAAGATAGCAAGAATGAATACCAGTAAATTCTAAGAAAATAGATCTTCAATGGTTAAAAGGTCCGAAACACAGATAACAGGTTCAAGAGTGGTACATTGCATACCAGACATAACACACTTTATCTGGCTACAGCTCACGACTTAGTCAAAAACTTGATGAAGCAAATGTTTGCCTCACCAACTTTATGCTGCAGCTAGAATTTGTATTTCTAATGAACAAAACAAACACATACTGCACTCAATAAAGAGATTGTTGTGCCACACAGCATTGAGCACTTGAGCAACATGCATGCCAATAGTCTGTCCCTTTTAAAGGTATTATATACATTAACCATTTCCAGTGCCGGATGCAAGGGCTTTTAGTGGGGTCCCTTGACCCCACTTGAATATTAAAAAAAATAAAAAATCTTATCAAATAATTTTTTTTTTCCTTTAAAAATTGCTTATATTTTTAATCAAATGACCCCATTAAAATTTATCAAAGGTATTTTGACCCCGTTAAATATTTTTTCTGAATCCGCCACTGACCATTTCAGATATATATAAGTAAACTACTTATAGAAATCTCTACAAAAAGTGTGCCTTGCATACATGATACACAAGTCTCCACCTTGTTCCTTGGCTGCGAGGACCTTTGCACTTTCGAGCACCCTCGCATTCTAAAACTAATAATAGGCCAAGATATTTGGCACAGAATCGTGGCCATTTCGGCCAAATTTAAGTTGCAACTAATCCATAATATAGTCACAAAAAGATGATTAAACTTAAGCTTGGAGCTTCTTCTTCTTTTTATTAAAAAAAATATAGGAAAAAAAAAAGAGCTATTGAGTCATTATTTTGGTATGAAACTTAGCCCTACGTTCAATCATTTCTGCAACCACATACCCTTACCTCAATCAATTTTTCTATGCCCTTCCTCAACAGACAATATATATATATATATATATATACATATATACATATATCTTAGTCCTCTTTCAAATTTATATAACAAGGCACCTAGATCAGTTAAACCTTACTCATTTGACCCAGAAGTTCAGTTTAATTTGAGTTTGATTAAATAAGATCAAATCCCAAATAAACAGCTCAAATTAGGGTCAGGGTTTGAGGATCAGATCACTTTTGATAGGCCTAATAAGATAAAACATACTCCCTCTATACGACAATATACCATTTTATGAATCTATGTTATATGGACTCTTCATTTTACCTTAACTACCCTTGTTAGATTCACTACCTAACATGGGTGGTGGGCCAACATTTCATTTTGAGCCGAAATCATGGAAAATATTTCAAAAAAGTGATAGCCTTAGACACGTACCCGCGTTTGACACGAACACCTCCAAGTAAAATAGCTATTAATGTCCCACTATTTTTTAATGTTTCCCTTTCCTATTATTGGACCCAAGAAGGCTCTCGTGAGAATACCTCATTTATGTTAGAACACATTCTTATCTGAGAACACTCTTTATGTTCTAAATTTTAAATAAGGTGTTCTAAGTTTTTACTCACATGTTCTAAAAATAATTTAAGTTCGGTAAAAATAGGTAACTTTAAAAATAATTTCAGTTTAGCAAAAATTAATTATAGTTTAATAAAAAATAATTTACTTTAACCAATAATAATTTCAGTTCAATAAAAATATTTGAAGTTCAGCAAAAATAATTTCAATTTAGTAAAAATAATTTCAGTTTAACAAAAATAAGGTAAAGTGAACCAGGCCTAATTGTGCAAATTTGATTTTTGAGCTCACAACAATTTTTCCAATTTTTGGATAAAAAAAAATGTTGTGCACATTATGTTTAAACTTTATTTAAATTAAACTTTAGCAAATTTTTTTGCACATTTAGTTCAAAAAATATGCACATAATATACCCTTCCTCCATTTTAATACTTACAACACTTCCCTAAAATGGAAATATCACAATACTTGCAACACACTATAATTGAAAAATTATTTTCAGGAAAAGTTGTATTATTCCCTTTATTTAAAGTACATGGCCCACTAGATTATAATTCTAACAACCTCTCACCCCATTTTAAAGTATATTAAACCATGTGAACCCCACTTTTCTTAAAATACCGTGAAAAAGTGTGCAATTATTAAAAAACGGAGAAAGTATATGTTAACTACTCACTCACAAACTCTTTATCCTATACACCAAAGGTAAATGCCCCACATCCAAACAACAAAATAGATGTCAAGTATAACTTGGTCCAAAATGTTCTGATTTATACGACGAAAGTCATAAAAGGACTATAAGAACAAAATATAAAGCTAAACTTAAGGAGCAGCTCCTTTTTACCTTTGTCAAATTGGCTGAAGCCTTTTTAACCCGGGCTTGTGATTTAGCCTGTGCGCGATGCTCCTGCTGCATTTTCTGTAACTGCTGCAGTCTTGAAGCAAAGTTAATTCCATTGCTCATAGTCTCCACATCTTGTACGATACCATCTTGGTTACAGTCTGGTCCACTATCCATGTGATTTGCAACCTTTGAGTGTGAGGTTTCTGGAAATGAATTCCAATGTTGCTCACTGCTGAAGGAGTATGGGGGAACAGTTTTCAATCGAGTACGCAATATCTTGAAGGCTGCACTTTGCTGCACAAAAAAGATTGTTATATACGAATTCAAGACATCAAGGAATCCCTGAAACAAAACTATAAGGCATTTAAGCCCCATTTTTTGAAATCTCACATTTATGAAGTTTCTATACACGGATATACCCAAAGGTCAATGAACTGGTCAAAGACTACATTAGTAATATGTCTTCCGTGATAAACAGGTTGGACTACACAGCATAGTATAAAGTAAAGTGTACTTGATTATGTAGAGGTCATAACAGGTCTATTAACTTGTAATTCCAAAAAGCTGTTAGACAAAACAAGAGTTTCACACCACATCCATCATGAGCCAAGATTTTATTTAGCACTGTTGCACATGTTAATACTATTGATATATTTTTAGAACCATCCTTGGAGTTGTTGCACATATTTATACTAATGAAACTACAAGAAGCATTCAAAAACATTTCACCCATTGTAACATATTTAAATCTCACCACCAACTAATAAGATCCAGTGAAAAGATTCTAAAATGAGGAGAAGAATGCATGTGCACCTTTTTTTCTAATTCGATAAAATTGAACATACATATATTACTTTTTGAGGAATTTATATTAAATGACAAAAAAGAAAAAGAAAAAGAAAAAGAAAACATAAAACATAAACATTTTTTCAAAAAAATAATTCACATAAAATTAAGTTTTACAAAAGTTGATTTCTTTTGAATACAAACCAACCCTCTTTAATAATAGGAAAATACATAAATAAAATTCATATTGTATACATATGGTAAGATCCCTCATTATGATATACGAAGTAGAAAGTATTAGATAATACTATCTATAAACGACAAAGTATGAATATGCTGTTTTGTCTTTAACAATGAGAAAATTACCTGGGGAAGTAGCATAAGCAGGCCATAAAGGGCTTTCAACAACCATGTATACCTTCCAGGCTCCAGAAGCTGCACCGACCAAAACACCAAAGCATTGTTATTCATCACAATTCTTATTAATAATGACACAAGCAAACAACCTTATTTTTTGGAGACTGGTTGATGACATAATAGCTTCGAGCTGGCATCTCCTTGCAAGCCACCTCCCTCCCCTCGTTTTCCCTTCCCTCTCCATATTCAAAACGCTGATCTTCTATGTTCATCTAAGGGCTACCACCAACCTCATTGTTGACGATGGTAAGCTCCTCTATTCTTGCTTTTAACCAGTGTTTAATTCATGTTTACAATATAACTTATATCTTTTTCTATTTGAAAGTTTTTCTTCCAAATAATTGGATGAGTTCTACACATAAATTGGGTTTTATCTCAACCCTTGTGAGTTTAGGGCTATGTTGATTAAGAATGAGCGGTCACACAGAAGATGTCATTTCTACATCTACACTAAATTTCATCAGATTTATTACAGATTTCAATATTTTCAAAACTACAACAAATTGGAAGACCCCCTCGTGAAAGGTTGTAACAAACTACGATATAAAAGAGGGTAGACACAAATTTCAGATCTCATCCACAATGATGATGATTTTTTCAAATTAGAATTTTATTTGATCCAAAATGTTTTGTAATTTTTTTATTTTTGAATATCAATATATATTTCGTATCACTTTATATATTATACACTACCTCTGTTTCAAATTAATTGCAATGACTTAGACTTTTTCTACTCACACTTTATGTCAAATTGTTGCAAATAATTTGAAACGGAGGTAGTATATATTATTAACATGTTTGTACTGAGGACACACAATTCTTTTCTAGGAGGTTGGGGGCTGGGTCTGCATGTAAAGCAAAGTGACCATGAAGCAAATAACAACCAACACTCCAATATCTTATAAACCCCAACTACCTAGCTCATCCATGCAAGTTCAACTACAATGTGAATCTCAATTTGCAAAGGCAGACTGCATAAAGATATATACCTGCAATCTCAGATAAGCAAATGTTGGAGTCTCAAGTAACCGAATCAATTTGTCAAGCTGGACCAAAAATTTAATGTTGATATCCTCTTCAACCAGAGACTGTATAACAGTGCTGGCATGCTGGTATGTCTATTAAAAAAATAGCATGAATTTTTAGCTAAGAAACAATGATTTCACAATCGTGGACTGTCATGACAAACAATTACCTGAGCTAATAAGCACAAACTAATGATTGCCATTGGAGAATGGCACCAAGAAGCATATAAAGCATGAAACAAGTCTTTCCCAGCACTGTTGACAAGAGAATGCTTCAGTAGCTCCCGCAGTTCCGATAACTCAGCGGATGTGAGTAAAATTAAGTTTAATGCCTGAAGGTGAGCAAATCTCAATTAAAACATACATGTACACTATAGCAAGCAAATATTAAATTAAGATCAATCAAGACTTAGGCCGTAGTACAATTTATACACAGTATATAATCAGCTGATTCAGCTCTATCTTTTTCATTTGACTAGTGAACTTAGATACAAAGACTCTGATCTAAGTCAATAAAGATAACTCACAAATAGATACTTAATGAATTAAAATCACAGAAAATTCTCCATCAGTCGATAAATAAAAGATTCATTTCCTTTAGAGACATAATATTAAGGTAGGTAGCAGTGGGTTATCGTTGATGAAAGTCGAATTAAAAAAGGAAGTGAGAATAGTTTATTGTTCTTAGGAGAAGAGAGAGACAGAACATAGGAGGGTTAGAGAGATTTTGTTGATCAACAGTGAAAAATGGAATAGGTGATGGACCCCACCCAAAAGGGAAATGAGGCTTTTGTTTAGGAACAAGAATTTTGGGATAAATGGGGCTTTAATTTTGGGGCAAATGGAGTATCAGATATTATCTAGAACCTACTTTTGCTTATAGCATTAGTGACTAGCCCTGAACCAGAACAGTCTTTCCCCTCTAATTCTTCTCTCTGCCTTACTCAATAAAAGTGCACATAACATGATTGTCATGAAATCATGCAAACCAGTTTTTGAAAGAATGTCGAGGTGGCAAGTAGTATATGGTGGCCAGTGGGCAAGGCCCATGTTGATTAGCTAAATGATTTCTACCAAATATTCTTCAAGCCAAATTGATATTAAGTGATGTTATGCTGATGAGAGAGTTCACATAATAATGCAATTGAGTCCATGTGGATACACTTATGTGACTGATTTAATTCAGCATAGTACTGAATATTAAAAGAAATAAATCCATAATGAGTATAAGATAAGAATAATAATTCATTGTTAATTTAACAGTTAGTAAACACAGTAAGTAGCATTTTCCAGCCAAGGAAAATCAAAACAGGGATTGACAACTATTTACTTTGTAATGAAAAATTATATTTAATTACTACGGGAGCCTGGTCCATCAACGAAATTGATTAGACTCAAGCTTTAATGATGTAAAATTAATCAGGATCAGTTTTAGTCTAAGAGGACAGTAGTATGGAAATTCCATGGCATGCAGCTAACGTTAAATGGCATAGTTGAATGTCATGCATTTGTTATGCATATAATGAACAGAATACCATGTAGGTTAACAGTTTCGCAATCTAACTCATTGACATAAAGATACGTATACATGTAAAGCATGGAATATTCCAAATACAACAGGGGAAAAAAAAGGATTTTACAAAAATGAAGCAATGCAATACAGCTGGATGGTGACCAACAAGACCAAAATAGATGCATTCAATTTATTACACACCTGAACCATGATAGAAGCAAAATCAAGATCAGGTTCCTTCTGAAGAATAATGGAAAGCTCGCGATATACTGTCTGAGCACCAAGGAGTACACAGAGCCGTCGAATTATCAATGCACCCCGTCTGAGTATAAAAGAAAATCATACAAGTCATTCGAAGTTAGACAGAAGGGATGTAGCATAATTGGCAAATTTAATTTGGGCACAAAAAAAATTAGCAAACACGGAGTAGAAAATTTACTTTTCTAATAGAGAATTGTCGTTCTGAAAGTTCTGAAGCAAATGAACCAGAAGATTGCGAAAGTGCTCTGTGTCTTTGGCTATGCATGCATGCACCTCAAGCACCAAGAGCACTACCTAAGAAACATGCAGATGCAAAGACTTCCGTCATCCAAAAAGATGTTAAAAAAAAAAACTTTAAAACTCTCTAAATAAACCTATTAACAATATTGTTACTTCATTGTCTCTAATGTATGCAGCCTTACCCTATGAAGATATACTGTTTCATATTAACCCTTAATGAAAAAAAAAAAAAAATTAAAAATTAAAAAAATTAAAAAAAAAAAAAAGCATTAGCTGCCAGCTACTTCACAATGAATTACAGGTACGAATAAGTGAATAACTTAATACAAGTACCATAACTCTGAATATTAAACATCAAGCATAATACAAAAAATTGCAAATGGTAATTGGTAGATAAATACTAGTAAAGCATCATTGCATTATTCTACTCAGCCAAACTTTATCACTTGCTGCAGAAAGTGCAAAATTAAATTAGTTCAAAGACATATTAAGCGAACCGATGAAGTAGACACAAGTTATTCAGCTCTAAGACACGTGTTAAAGAGTACTAACTGAATCTAGGTCAACTTATATCAATAATCATAATGCGCTATCGTAACTGCCTCAGTCAAAATGAGCTTAGGTCTATACACATTTCAATCACCTACTAAGCTGACAAATCACAAACCAGAGTAAGTGTCATCATGCATATTTTCCACCAACAATAATTCTTTTTATTATACAGCCCAGCAAATGAAAATTTTAAACATCTAAGAAAGTCCGTCTACATCCAACCAAAGCTCCATGTTAGATTTGAAAACTTCTATCTACACATATAGTCTCTTAATCAGTACAAGCAAAACATATTTGCACACATGTAATTCACTTTTGCATTACATGGGCACTTGTTACCAACAAACAACTAAGCCTCATCAAAACTCCATAGTAATCAATCGCCTTTCAGCCTTTCCATATCATATTACATAATTTCCTAATACACCTCCTTTCACCACCACCCCAAAACACACACACACACACACACACACACACACGCACACACGAAATTCCTAAAGTTAGTTACTTTCTGATTTTGTAGGTATCATTGAAGCACATTACCCTCATATATTCACTTGTTTCTGTCTATCATACCTACAGAGACAAACTTTATGAATAGAGAAAGGGTCCAACTGAGATTAAACCTTAACTCCTATAAAAATAGGAACAAGTCAGTAATTTGATGTCTTCAGATTACTTGTACAAATTAGCTGCCGTCTTCCACCCCTTCCTTTCACACTCTTTATCCTTGTGCGAGCCTAATTGCCCAAGGATTCTCAAAATCACCCACCCAATCCCTGCCTGACATGGATTAGACGCCACAAGAGAATCTAACCCATGGTATTAAATCTCTGCCACATTACCACATTGCAACCACTGTAAAGGATTTAAACCTTGAATTCACCCCCTAATTATCCCAACTCCCATTTAAACATCAATTTCACTAGTGAACATGTCAGCTAAAAATATATAATATGGTATGTGATGTAAGAATCAGGAAGTCTGAATGAAAGATGAGGACAGAAATTTTGATGGAAACTAAAGAAACATAAAACATGGTAAATAAAAAGTAGTGATGTGTGTCTTCAGTTGGAGATAATCAGCTTTAAAGAGAGAAGCTTAAGTTTAGAATTTTTTACGAGGTTTGTGTGAAATTGATATGTTGACACTCGTGTTATGAATAGTTAAGTTTAGGCAGAAATGAATACTTAGTACTCATCCATCCCCAAATAAAATTCAAATTTCTCACAAATATGTCCCGGAATAGAGTTCCCAATTGTCATTCTACAGTAAGTGAGAAATAATAAAGAAATATTAGGCCATTTCCTTTCATAGATGTGTTGCAAGTATTCTAGGACGACTTTACAAGCAAGGTGGTGCAACTATCCAGATGGAAGGAGTAATGGCTAAAACAGGGACATCAACTAAAATATGAACAAAGGAGTCAGTTGAACCAAGCTTCAATTTTAAAGGTCATGCGTCTCAAGCCAAACTGAGCCTAGGACCTTAAGCTGCTTATGTAAACTTGCGCTTGAGTTGTGTAATTGATATTCCCAAGTAGAACTATTAGATGAATAAACTTTCCACACCCAAGAAATATGTCAATAAGTCATAATATTTTTCCAGAAAGCTTTCCTGGTGTACCACAAATAAGAGAATTAACAGGAGAGAGAATGTTGAAGCAAGTGGGTAGACCATGTGCTTAGCTTATTTAATCAAGTTTGTAGTGGGGTTACTTAAAAAAAAACTTCCTAAAAAGGAATACGTGTCAACTAAAAAAAAAGAGGTAGTATGAGATTTGGAGAAAGAAATCAACAAAAGTCCAAGTAGAACAGAAAGTTACCTCGTCCGAAGAATCAGAGAGTGCTTTGAGAAGTGTATCAACTATATCGCTTAAAAAGGATAAAACCTGTCCAGAGTTTAAATTAATAATAGGTCAACAAGAAAGGAATTCTTCAATATAGTACAAGAAAAAAAGAATTGACAAACAGAGAGACAACTATCAGATCACTGCACAAATATCGTGATAGAATTTTGTTCTTTGCACCATATGGAAAATAATATAGAGAAGTAACAGTAAATATAAGTTCAAAACCAATAAATTTAGACAACGGCACCCAACTTCGTCTTACAATTAGGAGTAACTTCAGATAAAAACCACTAACTTTAGATAAGTTCAAAAAAAGGACACAAGGAGAAAAGAGCAAAGCCTAAGTGAGCAGCCATGATATCAGATATGGGCAAGAGCATATCTAAATTATATATCTAGAGCGAGAGAGAGAGAGAGAGAGAGAGAGAGAGAGAGAGAGATAGGCAGAAAAATCACAAGTACAGAGTTATTTTATCATATATTACAAACAGCTGAGAACAAAGAGCAATCCTTGTGTACTTAATTCATCATAAGTTTTCATTACCAAAAATTGCAATAGACATTTTCTCAAACTATCAGTGCAATCCAATACACACAAATAAGAGAGAATAGCTGGACAAGCTTGAAGTTTCAGGAATGTTGTAGAAAGGCATTTAAAGCCAACGGTAGGCATAAAGAGGTGCAAAAGGCTTTATTGTTAAAAAATTCCCAATTATATTCAAATAAAAGCACAGGTCCATTTCCTAAATGGAGGTACATCTGTGGAAGCACAATGTGATCAGTCAAACAGAATTACAGAAGAGCTAATAAATCCAAACGAAGTATCAATAAATTTCAAGTTTTACTTAATAAAAGGCCATACAAAGAGTATAACTCAACAGACGATCGCAATTAAAATAAATACTCTCTCGTTCTATATCAAGTAATTAAAAACAGTTTTTAAAACTCCTATTACATATATATATATATAAATATATATAAGGGAAAAAAAGCTTGGACAGTTTTTTTCAGTAAATAGTTTCGGATAGAGAAATTCTGGAAGTACCTCATCACGATGCTTATCCAAAAGGGCTGAAATCCAATGCAGTGCTTCAATACGAGTAGCTTCCCATTCACTGGATAAATGTCTGCAAAAGAAGGGAAACATTATCCCTGACCTCTCAAAAATGATTAACATGAAAAACTCAGTGCTTCTTGGTTGACATGGGGAGGTTATATCCCATAGGAATATTTCATAAATATAATTCGCTTACTAATGATGGGTTCTCTTCATCTGATTGGACCTAATCAACTCATATTTCATCTAATGTTTACAATTGATTGTACTCCCAACTTTGATTTTTTTAGGTGAATATAACACACCCTAAATATTAGGAAATTCCTTAAGTTGTTTAATTGACAGCCTAGAAAGTTGACATTTCCATGTTAATCACCAAGGGACGACTAGGTAATTTATTTCCCCCTTCCCAAGAATTCCCACTTCCTTCCATGTTAACTTTTAATTGTCAACCAAACAGTTAATCTATCAAATTTTCATGAATCTGTACTTTCCCCAATTTTTGTTGACACCAAACAAGCATTAACTTCTGTAAAAACATATGCAATATTAAGAAACCTATGAGCAAGCTTTTCATGTCTACAAAGCAAAAGCAGTTGCAAATACTCAAATTCTTCTTATAAGCTGCAGATTTCTCATCACCAAAAAAATAAATAAATAAATAAATAAATAAAAATAAAAAAGAAAGAAAGAAAGAAAGAAAAGTACCTCTTTGCAACAGCAAGGATTGCTCCTACATTAAATCCTTCACCTGGAGCCGCCTTGAATGAGCGAAGTTCTTCATTCGTCTCTCGAGCAACCTGATTAGAAATTTAGTCAAAAAACAATATAATGACATTAGTCTCAGTAGAATAACACATACTAAACTTATTGAAAGCAAATGTTCAAGTGATATGTTATTAAATTAATTTTACCAATTTAATCATCACACTTTCCATTTTCACCAGTTCCAATTATTTTTGTTATACTTTTTGTTATAGGATAGACCCACCAATAATTTATTACCTCTCCACCCTACCATATGTAAGGGGTCAAGGACTCCCCCTTGTTCAATTAAAATAATCTTCCACTATCTTTTACTAACTAAAACAATCTTCCATTATCTTTTACTAACTAAAACAATCTTCCATTATCTTTCACCAAATCTTCATGATACAATTAAATTAAGATGGAAAGAGTACCAAGTTTTTAAATTTTAAACTAACTTTGACCTATAATATCTATAATTATATATTTAGTAATAAATATAAAAAACTAATATATTGATATACTTTAAGATAATCCAACATCTTACTAAGGCCCTATTCTCTTCACCTTAAAATAATACTTTCTCCGTTACCCTAATATTACAACAATTACCATTTTAGGAAGTTTCACTTGCAACATTACCATATATGCTCATGCTTTCTCTCTATCTCTTTTCTCATCACACGGGTCCCTAACTTTATTTCTCTCTCTCATCTTAAATTTTGTGCCTTCCCCCCTTGTTGCAATATTAGGGGAACGGAGGAAGTAGTATTTAGTAAAAATAATTTCAATTCAGTAAGAATAAATTTTAGTTAGTAACTTTAAAAAACAAATATAATAGAAAATTAATAAAAATAAGTTTTAATCAGAAAAATAAAATAAAATAAAATAAAATAAAAATTCAATTCAATAAAAATAAATAGAAATTCGTAAAGATAATTCAAAAATAAGGCCTAACTAAAATTTTTTTTAAATATTAGCAAAAAATAATGGTCAAAATTATGTAAAAGTCAAAGCGCCAATCATGTTGTCAACTAAACTAAATAGGGATAGAGGAAATATATAATTTTATTAAAGGAGAATTTTTTTCGAGAGCATATAGAACGCCATATTGGATACTATTAAAACTAAACTAATGATTAAAAAAATAAAAAAAAATAAAAAAAAAGATTACAATTTAAATTTAGAACTAAAAAATTCAATAAACATATAAGCAAAACTAACAAATGAGTTTAAATTAATAAAATAAATAAATAAATAAATATAAAAAAAAAAATTATTAGGGATTTTACCTTAATATCTGATAATGAGAACAGATTTACAATTTATTTTATGATAAATAAAAATAAAAATTCAACAGCTACATATGTAGTAATAATTAATGAATAACGAATAAGATCACAAGCTTTAAATAACTTTTACAAAATAAATTTACCCTTTGTTAATAGGAAGTTAATCAATATTTTTAGGGCATACAATTTTTAATAGAAGTATAACATTCAAGAGTCTCAATGTTCAAGCAACCCATTAGCAAAGGAATGGGGCGATATGTAAGCAATTATCCATCACTAACGGAGATTTAAAAAAATAAATAAATAAATAAACAAAACCGAAAGGGTGTTAGAGATGAAGAGATCATATACAAGGATAGATATGGTAAAAGTTGTACAATGGTAAGCATGTTATTCAAGGTGTAGCAATTTTTTGGAAACATAGGATGAAGATATTAAGAAAAAAATCAACGGAAAAAGCAACTTACAACTCTAATCTTCTCTTCTTTGTCTGAAATACAAGGCAATATGGCCTCCAGAATAGCAGCATAATATGGTAAAAGCTGATCCCCCCCTAATTTTACAAATTCATTAATCTGCAAAGTTAAATTCCACATTGGATTGGTTAACAAACAAAAACGAACATGAAATAATGCTAAATGCAGAATTACATATTAAAATTGGAATTATATACAAATTAAGGTAAGGAACATTAGTTTAACTCTTTAAAAAGCATACCCAAGTAATGGCAGTCTGACGAGTAAATGCATCACCAGACTTTGCCCTTTCCACCAAAATTTGAGCCATGCGACCATAGTCTACAGACTTTAAAACAGTAACACCATAATCAGAGATATAAAAAGCTGAAAGGGAGTCCCAAAAAAAAAAAAGGTTCACAATAAAAAGGTGTCATTCTTGCTACAGTAGTTCAATATAGTTCCGGAAATAAAAGAGCAAATCAAATAAGCATAAATTATAATCAGAAGTAGAAAATTTACTGGAGAGTTTTTGATCTCTTGGAGAAATTCTGATAGTGCTGAGTCAGCCTGTTGTCGTATTTCATGGCTAGAATCACTTAGCATATTAAATAAACCTGAAACCAAGAACAAAATGCTCAAGCTATATGATTGAGAAGGCCTAATGAGGAAATCAAAATACAAAATACTAAAATTAAAACACAACTGCATATTTGGCAGTTTCTCCATACAAATTTCTCCTAAGGGCATGCTTGTATCGGGCAAATGCAGTAAAGGTAGTAAAAGTCAAACTAACGAAAAATGAAGGTGTACAAGTAGTAATTAATGGGATGAGGTTGTGATGAAGGGAATAAGGTAGTGTTACTATGAAGAAGAAGGTTACTATGAAGAAGAAGCAAGAGCGAAGGATGACAGGAAATAACACCACCCCGAAGATAACTATTACCCTCTATATGACCCCACCCTCATTTCTCATCACATATCCATTACATCATCTCCTTCAAAACAACCTAACTTACATTTTCTATTGTTCAACTTTTATTACCCCTTAATGCATTATGTTCAATCTTAGCATGCCCTAAATCTGTAAAATTACATATAACTAGAGCGTACCTGTGCTCGAGGATATGTTATTTGCAAAACAAAGCAACACAAAGTAAAACGTTGGTAGTTATTAGAGCCCCTTGAAAAAAATGTAGGAAAATTAGTGGATAGGTATTTATTGGTAGTTTTATTTTATTTTTATTTTATTTTTAAAAAAAATAAAAAAGAAAAGAAAGTGAAGTGCATAGGATTTGAGTATATTGGGGTTTTGGAGGATTTTGGTGAAATGTTATAAAAATGACTCTGCAATCATAATATAGATAGACATCTAATAACATCTTGGAAATGTAGTTTCCAACTACTCCAGTAGATCTACATTTTGGAAAATTGTTTTATTCTGTCACACTAAACAAATAAACTACTGCTCCCACCAGTTCATATTGGAGTTCCTGGTTTCCTTAGTGTTTCAAAAAGATGCTACTATTGTGAATCTTTGCTTCTTTTGGCAAATTTATTTCAAAACTTACCACACAAAATAATTTTATTGTCAAGTGTATGCCCATAAGTCCCATTCAAAGGACCACTACCATTCTTTATTAGAAGAGATTATAGCAGGTAGAGTTACTTTTCAAAAAAAATAAAAAAATAAATAGAGTTTCTATGGGAAAAAAAAAAAAAAAAAAAAAGTAGCACATGATGACTGTATTGGTTTCTTACTGGCTTGGCTTCCAACTACAAACATCAATATGAAAATGAGGGGAACTAGTCAAAATACTAGAATCATATATGAACAATTACCGTCGAGGAAATCAGGAAGAAAACCCAGCATATCAATATCAGGAACACTGTCCAAGACAGTGATCCATCCAACCAGAAATTGACGAACATAGGGATTTAATACATTCATGCGCTCCCTCAGCAACGGTATGAATTCTTCAATGCTTTGTAAAACACAAGAAAACCAATTACAATATACTCCATGAAATAAATAGATATAAAATAGAACTACTTCAAGAACATCCTATCCCAAATAGAGAAGGAATCAAATGGATTACCTGAATTGATCACTTTCTGTCACAATATCCTATCCCAAATAGAAGCTTAAGGTTAATTATGATATAAAACTTCTAGAGATTGTATTAAAATTAAACAACAAAATGAGGTCACCTTTACAAGCCTATCTAAAAGATGAGCAGCACTCTGCACATTAGCATCGGAATCTGCAGATAGCTTGCACAAAGCATCAAATATCTGATTAAAAAACACAATGAAATCCCCTCTTACAACCTGCAAAAAGAGCAAAAAATGCATGAGATCTAAATCCTGTAAAATTATAGAATACAAATAAGTAGTACACTCTCACCTTTGCAATGTTGTACAAAGCTTCACATGCATAATAACGAACTCTGCTATCTTGATCAGAAAAGGATTTGAGCACAGGCGGAACAATTTGCTGAAAGTTGGGAGGACAAGTGATTAAAAAACAGATCAAGGAAATAAATGCTATAAAATTGCAACGTAAATCAGTCACAAAGTACAGTAGGCAATAAAAGACCATCTCACCATCAAGCTAAATCAGTTTGCTAATATAATGTCAACATTATTGTATGATAAACTACTCTAAAAGTAATTCATGTAATAAACAAAAGTACTAAATATATAAACAGTCCCAAAGATTGCTAATATGACTCATATGAGTATAGCTTCATCACAACCACAGCACCACTACTGACCAATCTCTCATCTCCTTACCTATCCCTAGGTCCCATCCCACAATCCATTTCCTGCCTTATCCCAACACATTAGCACCTTAAACTCCTTTAATTCAATTAATATACTCGACAAAAGCAATCAAGAAGTGCGGAAGGAAAATCAATGTGAGTGCCATCAAAGGTCTCCATGCTCATTCACATCTTTAAATTAAAACAAACAATACTATTGCCTTTGAGTCCGTAATGCATAATTGATGGTTATCATCGTTGTCTTCACCATTATCATCATCATCACACAAAAGAATCACATAAAAATTACAATGCCATGAAACAAGTCATTTCAGATCTTCAAGAAACTAAACTACTAAAGGGTAACTCTTCCATAGATTACAAAGAATTAAAAATACTCCTACATAGTGCATTGTGAATTCATACTCGTTTCACGCATTAAACAGGTGTTATATCATATTTAAAAGCAGTCACAGCATAAACCCACATTTGGAAAGTACACTCCATCATTGATCAACCATGAGTCCATGACCTTGAGATGATTCTATCACTTATACCATACTTAGTATTGTGTTTCTTAATGTTCTCTTCCATCTTTTCTACCATTGATAATAAAACTTCTCTCACATTCTTTTCTATATACAACATTAAGTTATGGCTAAGCTCTTTATACAATCAATATGAGGCTAGAGCAGGGTTCAAAAATGCGGCCGCATCATCACGTATCGGGCGAGTAGTAGCGGTTTTCAATTTTACCGAACCGAGATTTAGCGGTTTGATGCGGGTTATTAAAATACACCGCATTTTCGGACCGAATTGGCCGGTACGACGATTTATTTATGAATCGCCAAAAAAATTGCTGGAATTCGCGAAGTTTTCTTCGACTCCATTGAAAACCAGAGTGAAAAGGAAAGAGGGGGAGGAGAGAGAGAGGCAAGAAAAGTAAATGGGTACTTTGAGTGGGGTTGTTACCTGTCAGTTGTCAAAAAGGTGGGGGGTTAGGAAAATGGGTAAAGGACGGGTGTCATTTTCAATACCACTTGTTTTGCTTTTGACCTTTTGACTACTAACTTAACCAAAATTGTATTTACTCTTACGGTTGTTACCCAATATATACCGTAGTAACAATTTATTTTTAGAGGAATTGTACCAATAATTAATAATAATTAAAATAACACTAGAATAATAACAATAAAAAATAAAATTTATATTAGAAGAAAATGATAAAAATAAATTTAATTTTTAAAATTTATGAGTAATAATATTAATAAACACATAAAATTATAAAACTAAAATTCAGTGACCACATCCGCGATAATCGCATCAATTCCATTCCACGATACGCTACCGTTATCGCAATCGCGATCGAAACAAACCGCATTTTCGAACCATGGGCTGGAGTGGTGAAGAATGAGGTAAAAGCAAGATGAAGTAGTTTATTCTGTATCAAGGAAGACAAAGATGGAAGAACCAATTAAACAAAAAGAAGGGGTAAGGGAACAACCTTCACCAAAACTTGACCACATTTTTGTTTGAATAGAGGTTTTTTTTTTTAAATAATGGGGTAGTTGGGTATGACTTTATGACAGGTGGAAGTTACCACTTTAATTTTTACTTTGGAATTTCAACCTGACTAGCTAACCCACAACCTTTTCTATATCCCTCTTCTGTTTTTTTTTTTTTTTCATTTCCCACGTGACCAATAGTCCCCACCCCTTATTTCCACCTTTTCAATTTACTTTTATTAACCCCCCTTTTCACTTACTTGATCCAAGATGATATACCATGGTGCCTGATGTTTGCTAACGATATTGTGTTTATTGATGAGACGAAAGAAGGCATGAAAAGTAAGTTAGAACTGTGGAGACGGACTTTGGAGTCCCGTGTCCTGAAAGTGAGCAAAAGTAAGAAAGAGTATTTGGAATGTAAGTTTAGCGGTGTGAGAAATAGTGAGGCAGGGCGTCCAAGGTTTTGAGGTCTTTCAATATCAAGGATCTATTATTCCAAAGAATGGAGAATTAGATGGAGATGTAGCTCGTAGGATCAAAGCGAGTTGGTCGAAATGGTCGACGGGTTTTTTATGTGATCCCGGAATACCCCATAAATTAAAGGGAAAATTCTACCGAACGACAATAAGTTAAGGCCTGCTTTGTTATATGGTACAGAATGTTGGGTCGTAAAGCATTGCCACGTGCATAAGATGAATTTGGCGGAGATGCGTATGTTGTGATAGATGTGTGGCCATAAGAGAAAGGATCGGTTGAGGAATGAGATAATAATGAAGAAAGTAGGGTTTACATTGATTGAGTACAAGATGAGGGAGAATCACTTAACATGGTTTGTCCATGTAAGGAGATCAAGCAACGGTCCGAAAAGGAGGCTTGAAAAATTGCAAAGTGTTAGGATCGTGAGAGGTAGAGGAAAACCTAAGAAAACTTTGAAGAGGGTGATTGAGAGTGACATGAGTGCTTTAGGGATTGAGGAAAATATAGTGTTGGATAGGGTTGTGTGGAGGTAGAAAATTCACGTTAACGACATGTCGTGATTATATATATACTTTCTAAACTTATTTTCGTATTTAATTTTATTATTTAATCTCAATAATGTTGTATGGACTGCATTATTTTTCTTTGCTAAAGTTTACTCAAACCTTTATGTTTTTTTTATTCTAACGTTTTAATCACTCCTTTAAAACATTCTTGATATTTATTCTTGGTTCTCTTTTTAAACTCCCTTAATTTTTCTTGGATGCTCTTTCGTTTGCTTACTTTGCCACCTTAAGTGATTATCTTGTTATCTCTCTTTCTTTATATCATATGGTTCCTTATGACGATTCATGTTAGCCAACCCCAAATCATTTAAGGACTAAAGCTTTATTACTTACTCCATTAGTAATAAAAAAAAAAAAAAGGGGTTGTAGTACTTACAAGTAAGAAGTAAGAATATAACATTTTTTACAAAAATTTTGATAAAAAAATATAACAAAACTTTAATAAATTGTGTGCAACAACCGTGATGTGGTCCGCAATCAACGCATCAATTCCGTTATTGAAACACCGTGATCGTTTATGTGATCGCGACCGAAATCGCATTTTCGAACCATGGTTGTGGAGGGGGAGGAAGGGAGGAGAAAAAAAGTATCTACAAGTTAACATGGATCCCTTGTACATTCTCAATTAGATATAGTCGAAAGCCTCAATTGCCTCATCCCATAATCATTTATGTTAGACTTTCCAAAAATATCATCCAAACAATACCTCTCACATACAGATGAATCTTGGCCTTTGAACTCAATACCATAATTACTCATAATAATATACACATAGAAAAATTCACCAATATTCCAAAATTAAAGAGCCGCATAACTTCCCTCTAAGTTCACAAGAAGTTATCAAGTAGAAAAATAAATCTTGATACACGCTTTTTGGTATTGAAAAAAGATTTCCTAAACTAAGACCAACATATTTTGTAAGAATGTTTTCCATATAGCCTCTTAAGCCAACTCCAAACAAAGGCCAACACCTAAACATGCTAGTTTCAAAAGCACAAGACTTCAAATCAATGGTCAAGGGGTCCATTAATGTCATTCAATCCTTCAATGCATCCTTACGTGTGTTAAAAAAAAGCACAAGGGCATGCCTAAGCACTTTCCTCCCAAAACATGATATTAAAATTCCTCCATTCTACAATAAAATAAAGAGAAAACTACATCTTTTTTTCCACCAAAAGATGCATGTCAATAGGGGAAGAAATGCAGTGCCAAAATCTCTTTAAAGAACTATAAATTTCTATGATGAACTACAAGAGGTCACCAGTATAGATTAACTTCATATTAACTAAATTACCATATAACTACAACCAAGAACAAAACGAAGATGACGGTAGAATGGGAACAATTCTTTAGTAAAAAGTTTAAGAAAATTCCAATGGATCAAAAACTATTGATGCTTGCGAAGGCCTCTAGAATGATTACTTGCATTACAAAATCTTTGTCATAAAGATGATTAATTTAAGATTTCTTACAATAGATTTTCACCACGACAAAGTAGCTATAATTCAATCCAAATTATGCTTCAATAATAAGACAAAGAATCAACAAAAAAACATGGACTATAATAATAATTAAACAAAAAAAAGATTCGATAAGGAAATATTAGAAAAAGTCTCAAAGAAGAAGTTTTTGCACTCAACATCAACAATTAACATAGCTTAACTTGCATAAAGACAAAGGCTATGCATAAGATGGATAACTTCACATTTTTGCTAATCAGAAAGAGATATAAGATAGAATGAGAGATAGCCACAAACCCTCATAGTTATGGAAGCAAGATTATCTTGGCCGTCGTACAAGTAACTCCCATATGAACCCTAGTTGTACCAATGAGCATAGCAATAGAATTATACAGATTATCCTGGAATATGCTCTATCTGACAATTTTTCAAGAAATAATAACATCAAAGCTTATCACTTGTATCTGACATTAACACCATAGAGGCGAGATTGTCCACTGGTATTTTTACTTATTAGGGGATTATATGTTAATTTTCAAGAAAAGTAATAGTGCAATCTTCAAGGCATAAGTAGGACAGCATGCTACTAAAAAATTACTCTAACAAACCACCACAAACTGTTTTTTTACTACAACCAGATACACATGAATCCCTAATCACAGAAAATAAACATTAATGTGTAATGGAAGCAAAAATTAATCCTAACCTCGAGATGCTGAGCGGCCTCGGAGGTCAAACCAACAGTTGCCGCAGCTAATCCAATTAATCCACCCTGCCAAAATGAACAAGCAACCAAAATTCAATTCAATTCAACTCAACTAATGCTACAATTTCACAACCTGTTCACAATACCCAGCACATTGTAATCAATTATCAAAACAAAAAGCTCATACCTTTCGATGATTAGCCTGCGGCGAAAATGTGAATTCGTCAGTCAACAAATTGATCACAGCAGTTATTTTCTCATGATCTCCAGCCGCAGCCAATTGCTTCACAATCCCTTCAACCTTAAGAAAACCAATCCAAAACCAAAATTACTCCCCAGCAAAAACCAATTTACAAAATCAATTGAAATTCACCAAAAATTAACAAATTCAAATAACCTCAAGAGCAGCATTCTTCCGCTTCTCATACAACTTATCGGCAAGATTACGAAGCACAGCAGCCGGAATTATGGACAATGCATCCGCCATTACAGGATCCTATCTCACAGAGCAATCAATCAATCAAACAATAAAACCCAAATTATGATAATCGATTGTTCTGTTGTCAATGGATGATACTCTGAAGTTCAAGCAACAGCATGATTGATGTTAATGAGTTGAGAAATTAGGGTTTTTGTCGTTGAGATCGAAGAATTCATTTATGTTAAGTAATTTTGAAAATGGAAAAAAAAAAAAACTGACTAATCGTATTATTCTGGGTTTACCAAATATTCAACCACAGATCTAGGGAAATTTGAACGGCCTTTTATTTTTAATTTTTATTTAGGCAGTTTCTTCGCACTACGATCTTTGAACACAAAGGATGTTTTGGTTTGGATATTAATGTCACCCGTGTGTATCTTTCTTTTCTTTTCTTTTCTTTTCTTTTCTTTTTAGCTTTTGTATGTCCTTAAGGAGGTGATTGATTGGAATATGCTGTCTTTTCCACTCGACTATGTTTAAATCAATATGTTATTTTTGTATGGAGTTTATATTAAGTAAAATGCAAGGTATTAATCAAAATACTAGTTTTTACTCAAAAATATTCAAATACTAGATGAAATCCGTGCAATGTATGGTTTGTTTGTATTTTCTTAAAACAAATCTAATATATATCATATCATATCACTAATATATAAAGCCGGTCTCGCAACTAGGCCACGAGACAACGACATTTGGTATTCCAAATATTCGCCAAGTGTCGCGCCACGTAGGCGAAAATTAGGTATTATTGTGACACATATGATGCTAAGTAAACAAATTTTGGATAGATTTTTTAAGATAAAATTGTCGGATAAAGTTTTATTGTCGATAAACTTTTAATATTTCATATATACAAAATTAATCATAACTTTTAATAAATATCTTATAACTCGGTTCTATTTCCATCACACTATTCGCTTTAAAAAGTTCTTTAAAATAAGATTCATATATAATATATTAATTTATTTTAAAAAATAATAGTGAATATTGGTAAATATACTTTCATTTCTGTAAAAGTAATTTAAGTTCAATAAAAATAATTTTAAATTAATAACAACATAAATATAATATATTTATTCAAAAAAATAGAGAATATGTAAAAATAAGTCCGAATAAGTAAAATAATTTTAGTTTGCTAAAAATGCTTTCAGTTTAGTAAAAATAATTTAAGTTCAATAAAAATAATTTCAAGTCAATAATAACATAGATATCTATTTACAAACAATACCACAAAAAATACAATATTATATAAATTATCAAAAGGGATTATATGATCGTATTTAACATTCACGCCAAAATTTTAGACTAAATCTCATCTACCAAATGGGCATCGCCCAAGCACCAAAGTCGGTCTCACAGCCAAGCCACGAGATAGCGACACTTGGCATTCCTGTTTTTCGTCAAGTGTAATCGAATTTAACATTAAAGCCAAAAGGGATTATATAACCGAATTTAACATTCAAGCCAAAAAGTTTATTCTAAGATTTTATCAAAAATCTAGGCATCGCCCAGGCACAAAACTAGTGTAACACCCTAGAAATTCATTTCCTTTAAAATACCTATTTTGCCCTTTTAAAATACGAAATAGGAAAATCTAAGACATTACCACCACTGTGAAAACGACTAAGACAAATATCAAAGACACACACAGTGGAAGACTATCTTTAAAACCATTCAAAACAAGTCAACTCAAAAGTCAAAATAAACGAAAGTAAAGTCAAACAAAGTCAACCTACAACTTGGAACCATTGTAGGCCCTTAAAACCAAACAATACTGAAAATCTTTACGTTAGTTCACAAGCATAATAAAATAAAATAATATTCAAAGCAAACAAAACACATCAAATTCCTATGGAAACTAAGCATGATTCGCTCATCTCTCATCACTCATGCCCTTCATGAATATGCTTCATCACCTGAAAATGTTTATCTCTACTTGTCCCCACTACTCGCCATTAGAAATGGGTCGTCGTAGGGCTAAGGTAAAGATAAGGCCAAACAAACATACAACACACAATCAGCAATATATGATGAGTACATAAGCGTAATAAAAACACACTAACATGCTTTCATCCTATCAACACACAACTTACCTTGTTGCACCTGTTTACAAGCATACAACATACCAAACGACCAACCAGTAAATAAATGAATTACTTATTTAATTTGATTACGCATCGAACGGGTTTCCCACAAAATCCCCGCCCCAAATAAATTGAGGTAAACTACACCAGGAGCTAACCGGTAGGCAAATGTCACATGAAGTGAATGGACGTCCTGCGCATAAAATAAATAAAAAGAAAAATACGCCGTCATGTACTCCCAGTAGAAGCTATGGTTAAATATAAAACCCCATAACTCCCCAAATATGTTCATACTCAAGGTATATACGTTCCAAGAGTTTTGGTGCATAATCTCTTTCACTTTACGTTGTTTACATATTATTATACTTGGTGATGACTCTCAAACCATAACACAATCAAACATTACAATTCATTCAGACAATCAACATACCATTTTAATTCTTGAATAATTAGTGACCACATGAATTTAATTGTTGAACCCTTTTTAATCTACCTCGGTGTTAAATAACACCTTAAACGTATAATGCGCCGCAAATCCTATCCCTCGGTGTTAGAAACACCTTAAGTGCAGATAGGCACCACAATATAATTTATTCCTGTGTACTAAGACACTTAAATAGCTCTTTCCTATTGCTTATAGCATCAATAAAAATTATATGAACCAATAATAAAATTTCCTTTTCATAATCCAAACCAAATTAAACATTTAGTTTAATTAAACATGCTCTCTATCATGCCAATACTAAAAGTGTGGTTCATAATCAACATGCCAACATAATTAATTCCAATCACCAATTCATCATAAACAATTCATACATCACAAATCATTTACCAACATCAATCCAACCAACAAATTCCAACCAACACCTATCATGATACTACTTGGAATTAATTAAACAAAGCCTAGCATGCTTCTACATATCCAAATAATTACCAAGTACGCGAACGTACCTTGAATATGATCTCAAAATCGCCACGACTAAATTAAATCACTCACTTGGAAGTCTCCTACAAACCACAATTACAAAGAGGCATTAATACCTATTCCATACAAATTTCCAGCAATATATACACTCATTAAATCACTCATAAACCCTCTAAAACTATCTAAAATTTAATTTAAAACCCTTACTTTTATTCCTAAGTATTGGGTAATTAAAAATCCTTTCAAAAACATAATTATGGCTTATATATAAAAATTCCAGCTTTATTAAATCATCTAAAATTACTGTAATTATGTTTTAAAACACTTATTTTAATAATTTAAATCATCCATAAAAATTTTTCATCAATATACATAAAATTAGAAACCTAGGGTTTATAATTAGGGGTTTTTTAATTTAAAACCAAATCTGAAAATTTATATACAAAATACTTATCATCAAACTTCATAAATCATTACAAAATCCAAAAACAATAATTAGATTAAGGGTAGATTTAATTAAAAATCAAAAAGAATAAAAAAAAAAAAATTTGAACACCCACAGCCCAACATCACAGCAAGGCTACTGTCGCGCGCTTGCTGGTGGTGTCGTTGCTGCCGGCGGCGCCTGCTGGTGGCTGCAGCGGTGGCCGATGGTGTGTGGTGGTGGTCGGCGTGGGTGGTGATTGAAACAAAAATAAAATAAAGGGGAAGGGGAAAATTAAGGGGAAGAGAAAATAAGAAGAGAGAGAAAGAGAGTTACCTTTGGGTATTCTCCACCTTGGGCAAAATTTAATTTGCCCATGTGATGGATATTTATACTCTCTTTTGAAAACCCTCATAGACTTAAATTCCCTTTTTACCCTTATGATTTCTTTCTTAGTCAAACTAGTATTTTGACTTTCTTTAAAAACTCATTGACTTTAAAATTTCCTTTTATAAAATAATATGCCCCAAAGTTTCCAAATCATGAAATAAAATATTTTCAAGATTATTAAAAATAAACTTCTAATTATAATATTTCTTTTTAAATTAATGAAACACCATAAATAATTCATTTCGAATTATTTAAATACTTTAAAAAATACTTATTTAAATTAAATACGTATAAAAATACAGGGTATTACAACTAGTCACTAATAAATAAAGCCGGTCTCGCAGGCAGGCCACGAGACAGCGACACTTGGCATTCCAGTTTTTTGCCAAGTGTTGAGCCATGTAGGCGACAAATAGATATTATTGTGATTAGATTATATGCCACATTAGATTAGATTGGATAGATTTGCTTAAAATAAAAAAGTATACATAAAATGATTTATAATTCTTTTGAAAATTTTTATCATTTTATTGACAATAGAATTTCACTTATAGCATTACACCATATAATATAATTAATATGAATATCCAATTAATAATATAATTTTTCTCCTATACGAATAACTACGTAATTATTATAATTATAAATATGACCATGTATCATTAATTTTTTTTAGTCTACCATTGATTTACCATTAAATCTTTTGAATAAGGTATTCTTCGTATTCGATTGTAATATTTTTGTGTATGTTTGTGATTTTTTTACAATCGAATACGAAGAATACCTTATATCAAAAGCTTTAATGGTAAATCAATGGTAGACTAAAAAAATTAATGAATCAAAAGTAATGAATCTAAAACTCCAGGGCCTGATGGCTTCACTTCTGCCTTTTTTTTAAGTCTCATTGGTCTGTTGTCGACCCCTCGGTTATATCTGCGGTGCAATATTTCTTTCTGCATGGTCATATGCTTCGGGAATGGAATCGTACCTTTATCATTCTTCTTCCCAAGGTGGACCATCCCGAGCAGCCTTCTCAATTCCGACCGATAGGGTTATGCAACGTCCTTTACAAATGCATTGCTAAATGTATTTCTTTCCGACTCATGAAAGTTTTACCTTCCCTTGTTTTGGACTTTTAGTCTACCATCTGATGAAAGTTTTACCTTCCCTTGTTTCTGCTATTAAGATTCTGAGTCTTGAGCGACCGGCGCAACTCAATGATGACTTCGTGTATTGAAAACTTACATGGGACGACATATTTTTGACTAATCAGCCTATGCGAATCTTGTAACACCCTAGAAATTCCTCTCCTTAAAATACCAAATTTTGCCCTTTTAAAATACGAAGAAGGAAAATCTAAGACATTACCACCACCATGAAAATGGCTAAGGTAATTATCAAAGACTCACACAGCGGTAGACTAACTTTAAAACCATTTAAAACAAGTCAACTAAAATAAGTCAAAGCAAACAAAAGTAAAGTCAAACAAAGTCTACCTACAACTTGGAACCATCGTAGGCCCTTAAAACCAAACCATACTGAAAACCTTTGCATTAGTCTCATGATCAATATAATTAAATAATATTTAAAGCAAATAAAACACATCACATTCCTATGAGAACTAAGCATGATTCGCTCTTCACTCATGCCCTTCATGAATATACTTCAATTCATCACCTGAAAAGCTTCTCTCTACCTGTCCCCACTAATAGCCATTAGAAGTG